AAGTTGGTATATATCTTTGAATTGATGACTAATTAGATATTTAAGGATTTGAGATTCTGGAATAGAAGTGTTTTTAGAAGAATTTCTATCTAAGTATAGATTAGGAATATTATTAAAATTATCAAGTATTATTAGTTGATAATTGGAATTGTTACAAAGTTGAATAATTTGTTCTTGAATTTCAGAACATAGTTGGTTTTTTTCTGCTGTTGAAAGGTAAATTTGGAGAATACGAATAGAATTGTGTTTAAAGTGCAAATTAAGACTAATTATATGGCTATTATAGTTGTGTGTTCTAGCTATGTATTTGAAAATTCTATTATGTATGAAAATACCAACACCTGTTTGATGAAAATTTTTATAAAAACTTCTGAAACTGTTATACTTTTGGAGTTCTTTGTTAATAAATTTTTCTTCTTTTGAAGTTAGATGTATTTTCGATAAACTAAAAATATCAAAATTATATTGATTGATTATATCAATTAGTAAGAGTTTTTTTGAATATTGAAGTAAACCATTAATGTTTAAAGAACCAATTTTTATAAGGATTGAAATAATAAGTAAGAGAGTTGTTTATAAAGAAGGTATATTATTAGTAGCTATAGAATTTGAGTTATATGAATTAGGAGTAAACGAATTTAAATTAGTATCATTATATATATTAAAAAAAATACTATCAGAGATAGTATAAGAAGTTAAGTATCTGAAATGTGATTTAATAGGAAGATTATTGTATAGATGATAATGTGAACTTGGAAGAAATATGTGATTAGGTAGGAGTTTATATTTTAGATTTTTATAAATATGTGTTTTTGTAAGTATATTATTAATAGAGATTATAAAAGATTTATTAAAAGAGTTATTTTTTAGATATTGGATAAAAGATAGTAGTGTTTGTTTCAGTGGTAGAGTTGGAAGATTATAATTGATAAGAAAGATATTATAGCAAAGAAGGTCCTTGAAGTTAGATGAAGAGTTGAAATCCAAGAAGTAAGAATATGTTTTTGCAAGATCACTTACCATTTTAAGCTTGGTTCACATAGCTGCGAAAGATATTGTATTCTTCTCAGTACATTGGGTCTGACTATTATTAACCTAGTCTTCTATGTAATCAAGTAATTTTTAATTATATATGTATAGAATAAACAATTATTGTAATAAATTATACCTTGTTAAAAGTTTTTTTATAGTTTTCTATGATTTTTATCTCAATTTCTAGTTCTTTATCATCTGATTCATTAACTTTACTAATATTATATTCATTTAGAGTAGTTGAATTTATTTTTAAAATAATTTGAGTATGATCAATTGGCATCAATATACAAATTGCTTTCTATTTAGTTTGTTCAGTCTCTGTAATAAGAAAATAATTTGAATTTTGTTGAATTTAAAATTATAATAATTATTAAGAAATTTATTTTTAATAAATAAAAAAATATATTATAATAAATATACTTTTTAAAAAAATAAAGAATCCATTTTTCCAAGTGAATTTACGAGATGCTTATATAAAAAAAATTAGTTAGTTAAAAAATAAGGCCAAGAGCATATTCAATACTTATTATTTGTTAAATATTTTTCTATATTTTTTATTGCATGTATAGTAAGACTATTCCATTTTTTTTTAAAATTATCACACCATGAAGGTAAAATTCTTTTATGCAAAAGTAGCTGAAAACATTGCAATTATATTGGCAATAGCTTTTCAATAAGAATGTAGTATACAAAATCTATATATGGATAGTTAAATTTATATAAATAGTCTTTTTTTAAAATTCACTAATATGTTTCAATAATCATTGTTGTATGAATAACTGAAATTTCTGAATTGATAGATAAAATCCAAAGTTTCTATTTGTCTTATTAATACCATTCATTCTAACAATAAGCCCACACATGTAAAAGATTATTTTTACAATAATATTCAAATATTTTATATATTGCATGAGACCAAATTTTATGAAATAAAATTACAAATTCTTTGTCAGTAGTTAGTATTAACATATAATAATGAAAATGTGTTTTGATATAATTTAATATATCTTTTTTAAATCATAATTCAAGAAAAATTTTAGATGATTTTGTAAACATGTCTGTATGTTGTATAAGATTATTATTATTATTCTATGTTGGATCTATTATAGAACACTCATTATGTGCAGTGATTGCATTGTACCAAAAATTATTACCTTTTTTGAATAAAAGTTTTAATTGATAACATATTTCACATGTCATTTGCAAAGTTGTACATCTATGTCCTTCCAAATAATTTGTACACTTGAAATTTGTACAAAATCCTTATCGCTTAATAAAATCCTCACATTAATAATATTTAAATTATAAATGGTCTTGAACTATTTTGTTATGATCATTCGCATATCATGATTTTTGTTATTTGAGACATACAAATAGTTAATTGGAAAACCTGTTCTATCAATAATAACTGTAAATGCATAAAGTTCTTGCTTAAGCTAATTAGTATTATACATCGTATCAACTATCAAAGTTTCAAAATATCTTTTGACAATACATCAACAAAAGGTGTTATAAAAACAAATGCTGATGTTGAATAATTAATATCTAGGATAATTGAGTAATTTTTTTTATTTAAGAATAATTTAGCAGATATAATCTGATCATCATTACATTTGTATTTAGTAGCTAAATAATGAAACTACCAATAATAAATTTGCTCTACAGTTATAACTTCATAACCATTTATTTGCTCTAAAGTTATTCATTTGTATAATTCAGCAGCAATATATGATAAATTTGTTTGAATGTATTTCTTAATTTCATCAAAAATGTTGACATGTTGTGAACATAGATGAAGATATAAATAACTTAATTTTATTACTGCTACTGTAGTTTATAAATCAAGTTTGATGAAAATTGTTCTTTTACAATTATAATAATTTAATCTTGATTCTGTGTTATATTGTTTAGATTCAACCTCAATTTTTTTAATTTTTTTTTGAACTTACAACAGCAATTGCACCAGTAAGTGAACGAAATTATTTTATTTTTTTGATTACAATGTTTTTTGTAATATACGTAAGAGTATCCATCACTTTTTTTTACAAATTTTTACAATTTCAAGTGTCAATAAATTTGCATGATTTTCATTATAATTAATACTGTTTTCTTTTAACTTGTCAATCAAACAAGAAATATCTACATTAATTTCAAAATCCAAAAATTTACTATTTTCCTCCTCAATGTTCATAACTTGTTCATAAATTATATTTTCAAGCTTCTCAGAATCCATGACATTTTCTTGCATTTTATTGTTACTTACTTCATTCTGCTCTTTATGCTTTCTTTTCTTGCCTTCATTTATCTGATTTAAGCATTTAGCACAGGTCTTTTTATTAACTTCAAATAAATTTGCTAGTTTTGTTGTTTCGCAAGATGAACAATATTTCGGTTCCATTTGTAAATATGTCAAAAGATTTTTTTTTGGTAATTACTGGTATATACAAAAAAAAAATCAAAATAATTAACAATACAATATCAAAATAATTGTCATATTAATTGATATCAGTAATGATATCGGGAATCATTCAAAACTCCGCAGTAACTGATCTTGGTTGTTATGCTAGGTTCGTGACTGATCTTGGTATACTTATTGATTGGAATGAGATCATGGAAAGTTCAGATGACATAGAAATTAAAAATCAATTTTTAGGAGGAGATAAAGCAGCCAAAGAATTGCCAATTCCTTTACCAAAACATCCGGACTTTATGTATACTAGCAAATTTTTCAACACACGAAGAATATCAAATATAGTTAAAGGTAAACTGTAAAATTACTTCATTTATTTATTTTAAAGCTAATTATATTATATGTATTATTATACTTACAGCACTTAAGGTAGTTATGTGACATATTCGCACTAGAAACTGAGAACAAATGCAAATATAATAGTTAGCAAATAGTCCAAGTAACATACAAACGAGAACTGATCTAGCATCTCATTAATATAGTTTAAAGCATTTGATATAAAGTAGCTAATCAAATAAAAGTTTACAAAGCATCATGTAATAAATTATCTGGTTATCCGGTTATCCGAAAATTATTTTGCTATTGTCTTTGACGATCATTGATTATTAAACTGCGCATAACACTGGGTCCCGATAAAAAATTTTTATATCGGGTCGGATTTAAATGAACCCGTCCCGTACCCTATTTGCAAACAGCAAGATATTCTAAATTATGAAATTGCTTGAGATACCTTCGTTAAATCATTGAAACAATTTGAGGCAATTAATAATCTAGTCATGGTCAACAGTAAGGACATCTATCTATTCATAGTGATACCGGAATAATTAACATTTTCGTAATAAAGATCGGCCAATTGGTCAACCAAATTTAGATTTACAGTATTATAAAAATCATAATTTCTAATATGAATCTGATACATATCGATACTAGCAAAATTTTCCTTAGATAGTTGAACTTTTATAAGAATTAATCCGTTCATAAATTCATTTGGTTTTTCAACGAGGACACGATGATATTTGATAAAATTTCTACTACATAGTTTTAATTCCATCATGAAAATTTACTATTTCCACCATGTTTTCTACATGACTTTCAGCTATATAAACACGACACAAACATATTGTTATGACAATGGTGGAAATAGTTTTATTATAGATATTATGATCTATTAAAAATACTTATACTCTAGTAATTAATTTACCATATACTATTTATGAATAAATACTTCTTTTCAATTTTTGATCGAAATCATCGGATGCATACTCAATGTGATCAGATTTTTCTAAATGATAAAGTATGATTTAAAACAAAGTGTGCAAATATTTGTGTTACATACCTTATTATATATGTATATATTATATAACGCAAACTGACGATTAATTTCTCTGTACAGTAACATCTTAAGATTATGGTTGATAAATTTAGTTCTAAAAGAAATTATAATTATGGAAAATGTGCAATATGCAAACAATATAATACATATTATGCTTGGTGCCAAGCATGCGACCCTCAGAAGATAGTACAAGGATGGACAAGTGGAAATAAAGATATTGATGATTGTATTAAAGAATTTCAACTTAAAGCTACGTCTTATGAAGATGTGATCGAGTGGATTCCTTTTAATAGATTAGTTAATATTCAAAAGAATGGTGATGGATTTTTAGCAACGTGGTTAGATGGAATACGATATGCAAATGATGAAGGTATTCATAGTGAATATAAATATACAAAGTCACGCATACCGGCAAGCATAATTACACTTAAAATATTGAGTAAAACACAAAATATTTTAAAAGAAGTGAGTTCATTGTTATTTTATTATGTGTAATTTAATTAATAGCATGTATACTTAATTTATATATATATATTATTAGTTTAAAAATCATGTGCAATTAGATAGTCAATTAGGGCGTATACGTGTCTATGGATTAACTCAAAATAAAATCACAAATGAATATATGTTAGTAATTGATGAATTTTATAATAAAAGAGATAAAAATAATGGAAAATGTGCAACTTGCAAGCGATATAACACATCTTTCGTATGGTGCCAAACATGCGACCCTCAGAAGACAACACAAGGATGGACAAGTGGAAATAAAGATATTGATGATTGCATTAAAGAATTTCAGCTTAAAGCTACGTCTTATGAAGATGTAATAGAGTGGATTCCTTTTAGTAGATTAGTTAATAGTCAAAAAAATGATGATCGGTTTTTAGTAACCTGGTTAGATGGAATACGGCATATAAAACATAAACATAGAAAATGTACACAGTCACGTATACTGTCATGTAAAGTGGAGCTTAAAATATTGGCACGAACACAAAGTTTATTAGATAAGTTAAATGAAGTAAGTTAAAATACTTATCAATTAATATAATTATTATGATGTAATAATATACATTATTTTAATACAGTATATTTACATGCTTAATAAGTTTATAGATTATGTACAGTTAAAGAATAATGATCTTAAAGTATATGGACTAACGCAAAACAGCTCAACAAACGAGTATATGTTGGTATTTGATGAATTTCATAATAAAAGAATTGAAAGATATGGATCATGTGCAAATTGCAAGCGATATAACACATCTGAAGCTTGGTGTCAAACATGCGACCCTCAGAAGACAACACAAGGATGGACAAGTGGAAATAAGGATATCGACGAGTGCATTAAGGAATTTCAACTTAAAGCTACAAAATACGAAAATGTAATCGAATGGATTCCTTTTAATAGATTAGATAACGTTCAAAATATTGGCGATAAAGTTTTAGCAACCTGGTTAGATGGAATACGATATGCAAAATATGAACATAAAAAATATGAATATACACAGTCACGTATATCATCATACGTTGTGGAGCTTAAAATATTGACGCAATCACGAAATTTAGTAAATGTTTTAAAAGAGGTAAGACTGTACTTATGCTACTTACATGCACCGAATCTGTGACAGGTTATGTCGATCATCGTTGATTGTAGCCAATAAAATCACAAAGATATCGTGCAACTTAAAAAATTCGAAAAGCATTGTGAAAACAGAAAAATCGCAAATAACTACTGTCAACTATGGATATAACGGAAATCTGGGCTGACCAAAAAATTCCGTTATATAGCATATTCGTTATACGTACCTATATGCCTATATCCCTATATAACGGAATTAATAACAGAGTTAGGTTTCAGCACGAAATTTTAGTTATATGAAAACGTTTTAAATATCGAATATTAAGTAAATTAAAGCCTGCGCTAAATTTTGATCTTGTCACAAATTCAGTACGTGCTACTTATGTATACTATTTACGTGTGCTGCTAAAGGAAAATGAAACTTCGTCCTTTCAAATTTATTGATTCTAATCAGTGACACGTATAACGATAACACGTTAACACACGAAATACGTAACTAAAATTAGTTTTTAAGTATATTAAACTTACAAAGGTAGAGTCCGGTAAATAAATCATCAATAAACTTGAAAGCCTGCAGCACTCTTATTATTTATTTCTTATATCTTTTATATATTTTACAGTTTAAAAATCTTGTATTATCTGAGTGTCAAACAGAGCGTATAAATATTTGTGGATTAACTCAAAACACTATCACAAATGATTATATCTTAGTATTTACTGAATTTGATAAATTTAATAATATGAGGAACAGAGATTACGGAAAATGTGCAAATTGCAAGCGATATAACACATCTTTTGCATGGTGCCAAACATGCGACCCTCAGAAGACAACACAAGGATGGACAAGTGGAAATAAAGATATTGATGATTGCATTAAAGAATTTCAACTTAAAGCTACAGAATATGAAGATGTAATCGAATGGATTCCTTTTAATAAATTAGTTAGTTTTCAAAATATTGGCGACAGAGTTTTAGCAACCTGTTTAGATGGAATACGTTGTGCAAAATATGAACGTGTAGATAATGGATATGAATATGAATATATTCAGTCACGTATATCATCATGTAAAGTGGAGCTTAAAATATTGACTAGAACACAAAGTTTATTAGATATTCCAAATGAAGTAAGTTAAAATTAATATGATGTTATATATAACCATTATTTTAATATACATGCTTAATAAGTTTATAGATTATGTACAATTAAAGAATAATGATCTTAAAGTATATGGCCTAACGCAAAATAGCACAACAAACGAATATATGTTAGTATTTGATGAATTTTATGATAAAAGAATTAAAGATAATGGAACATGTGCAAATTGCGAGCGATATAACACATCTTACATTTGGTGTCAAACATGCAACCCTCATAAAGCAACACAAGGATGGACAAGTGGAAATAAGGATATCGACGATTGCATTAAGGAACTTCAACTTAAAGCTACAAGATACGAAAATGTAATCGAATGGATACCTTTTAATAGATTAGATAATGTTCAAATGATTGGTAAAGGGGGATTTGGCTCTGTATTTTCCGCAACGTGGTTAGATGGTAAAAGAATAGTTTCAGGTAATATGCACTCACGTACGCCATCATGTGTAGTTGCTCTTAAAACTTTACCCGGTTTGCAAAAGAATTTTTTAAGAGAAGTATGTTAAAATTCTTTATTTATGATCATTATAAATAAATCATAGATAAATTATTAATCATTATAATTTTTATTTGAATTATAAGTTTAAAATTTACACCGAATTTAAATTAGTGGGTAATGATCTTGAAGTGTATGGGCTAACTCGAGACACAACTAATAATGAATATTTGATGGTATTTCAATATGCAAATAGAGCAAGTCTTCGTAATTTCCTATCATTAAATTTTAGAGATCTTAATTGGAAAAGTAAATTAAACCAACTTTTCATTATATCTGACAATTTAATAAAAGTACACAAGGCAGAATATGTTCATGGAGATTTTCATAGCGGTAATATATTGCAAAATCAATATATTAATGGTGATCTAATATCTTATATTGCTGATCTAGGATTATCTAGAAAGAAGGATGATTCTAATTTGGAAGATGGTATTTACGGCGTTTTACCTTATGTTGCACCAGAAGTGTTAAACAAACAACCATATACAACAGCAGCTGATATTTACAGTTTTGGTATTATTATGTCTGAGATGTCTACAGGAAAGCCTCCTCATTATGATCTTGAGTATGATGAAACTTTGGCTATTCAAATATGTAATGGATTACGTCCTGAATTTGCTAAAGGCACCCCTGGGTGCTTTATCAAACTAGCAAATCAATGTATGGATGCTAATCCATCTAGTAGACCAACTGCATCTGATATCCGTAGGAAATTATCAAGTTGGAGTGATATAGTATATAAAAATACTGCATATAATGAAGATCAATTAGCAATATTAAAAGCATTCCAGTCCGCCGATGCGGTTATTCCAACATTATCAACTGAATTGCCAATTTTCCCTAAAGATAAACTTACAAGTAAACTGCTTAAATTTAAAAATCTTTGCAAACCAATTAATTCTTCATTTATTGCACCTGCAAAATCGGCAGAAGTTTATGGTAATAATTTACTCTTATTCCGTGCTTTTTTCCTAGCCTATTCGCACTGGTCTATATAAAAATAACATGATTTTCATATAGACCAGTGCTATTAAAATTGTATTTTTTTTTTTATTTATTTAAATTTTTTATTATTCAATTATAATTTAATTACAAATAAAAAGCATTTTATTTAATTAATAACAATAAATTACTAAACATGTTTAATTCTAATCGTTAAAAATTTTACTTTTAAATTTTTTAGATTCTACTACTCTCGATTTTTCAATTTCTGATGACTGCTATAATAATAATTCACGTATGTATTAATGATTCAATTTACTAGTCTATAACGACAGGAATATATTTACTTATATATATTTAAATGCTTTGTCTCTATAGCCAATGATGATGTATTATAAACAATGAATAGATTTTATTTAAATTATTTTATCTCGCAATTATTTAGCAAACATATTTAAATTATTTATCTCGCAATTATTTGGTCAATATATTCAAATTATTTAAATTATAAAGTATAATATTTTTTAAAAAAAATTTTTATAAAAAACCTTCTTTCCTTTAAAACATTTATTCCCATCCTCCATGATTTGAAGCTTCTTTGACTTTCTTTCATGTTTATTTTTCTTATTCTTGGCTGCATCAATAACCAAAAATTCTTTCAAATAAAGTTCTAATATTTTTTATTAAAATAAATTCTCAAATAATGAATAATATATGAATAAAGAAAATAATAACGATCTTGATGTTTTGTGCTCGCAGAGTAATAATTCTAATATTTTAAAATTTTGGTATTTTACGTGTTATACTCTTAATTAAATCATTAAATGTCTTTCTTATAGGCGAAAACGTCAATGATATTTGTTTCCTTCATTCTCCCCATCTGTCACACAAAAGCCATTTGCCTTACAATAATGTGTTCATTCACCATATATAGTGTCTAACTTTATAATAATTCTAACAACAGATCTTTTCTCTGATTCCATAAATACAATCAAAGTTCATTCTTGATAAATGAAGGCCCAGTGCATCAGGATAGTTCTTCAATGTCAATATCCATAATAAATACAATGTACATATTTAAATTCTGATTAATTTCAATTTATATTCATGTATAGATTTTTGTTCTTAAGAAATAGTTGGTAAGTCCTTGAAATATTAATAGTTATAGTAATGATAGGATTTAGTTGCTTTAGCTACTTCAAACGTCGTTACGCATCTCGTGAATCATCACTTTAACATCAGGAAACCGATACTGTTGCCTCTTGTGACATACACAAGCTTCAAAACAGTAGATCTAATTTTTTCACTAGGCACTGTTAACCAATCGATCACTCATACACAGCAGGATTAATATCAAATGCTGAAATGCCAGCTCGGGATTTTCTTGACATAAGGATACCCATAACTATTTTAACTTTACATGGCTTGATGCATACATTACAAATTCTTTTGCATCTTCGATAGAAATTTCTCTGCATGGAAATACTTCGTAGAAATTTTTTGATATAAGAGCGCATGTTTTTGCTTCTACCTAACCTTTTAAACATTTTTAGTTTAGAGATGAGATAAAACATATGAAAGGGCAGTATCTCGAATTTATTGTTATTTGTCGCTTATACGTAAGTAATTTTTGCGTAATTTCCTCAAATTTTCTTAATCTTAGCAAATTATAATTATTACTTATAAAATGTTTACTAAATTGTAAAATAAGATTTATAAATTCCTGACAACTGCCGAAGAATGTCAGATAAAATGCTACATCAGTTATTTATCTTGGACTGACAAAAAGATTGTTGAATTCCACCAAATGAACTAAGATCAATTATAGACTGAGTTGTAATTTCCGTCAGCAATGTAATCATGGAACTTCGTCACTCAAGGATTTCACAAATTTCTTCACAGGTTAGTTAAAGTTTTATGCATATACTTTTAGATTTTTTTATATAATGATATTGTGTGATCTATTTGCAGAGCAGTGCTTAATAAACAGACTATATTATTTTAGCTTGTTGTTTATATTTTTCTCACCCATTAAATCGGCCCCAATAATACTTGCATATGATAGAGAAGTGTATATGCTATAGACTGTTATGCAGTATTGTAGTTCACTCTACTAACCTATTATATGAAAAGGTTATTGCACGGTTGGGTGAGCTAAGGTATTAATTATTATGTAGTTAATTAGTATTACACAAAATTTCATCTACGTAATGATCATACAAAGACGTTAACTTTGCATATGCATTGATAATATATGTTTGTTAATAATGGAAATTTTTATATTTTTAAAATCTAACATGTAACATTTTTTTAGTTTGATAGTGCTTTCGAAGGCATGTGTTCCTTAGTTGCTACGGGAACAATCAAATGAATAAAGAAAAAACTGCTTAGTTCAGATCAGATTAAAAAAATATCAATAAGTTGAAAAAGAAACTCGGAAATGATACTTCTCCTCTTTATCAGCATTTATACTTAGGTGTAGAGAAGATTCTATTCAAGGATTAACTTAGAAAAATCCTTTGGCTAATCAAATTATTAGAGATAAAGTCAAATTTGTAGAAAATTTATGTGAAACCCCAAAAAAAAGCATTTATTGAGTAAAACACAATTCCTATAAATTATTTCTAATATCTCTCGTTATGGTCTTAGAAACCAGTTAGTACGTATAAAGAATTTGTATCAAGTTTTTCTTGTGATGACTATAGCGAATTTTCAGAAGAGGAAATTTCATGCGTCGTAAATAAAATTTTTAGTATCATGGAAGATGTTTGGAATAATCCAGCTCTTAACGCTGAAGTGATGAGGATGCTAAATGAGGGAACTTATCAATCTACTGTTATTGTACCATTTATTCTAGCTATGTCAAAAAATCTTCCCTTTAGATTACCTTTGTGTATTAACACATCAGAGAAAGAAAGTATTGCTAGTGTGGATAGAAAAGGGGATGGTTAAATGGGAAGATGACCAAATATCATGTTTACAGTGAAATATTTAGATGTATTCTTTGAAATTTGTATGTTGAATGTTTAAGGTTTGTGTAATCGATTTACGTAATGATAGATTACGCACGTCTGAATTCTGTGCCAGGTTAGTGCCGAACTACCAATCAGATTTCAAGATCAGGTGCAATGTTACATGATCAGAAAAGTTCAAAACAAACGTTCGTCTTGACAAAAAATCAAAAATCTGTTTAAGAAATCATCTTTCGAGCCTTAATTAAAAGTTTTTCTTGAACGATTTTACTATATACCCGCTAACCTCTAGCCTTAATACAAAATGCTAACAATGAATTTTAAAGAAGTTTGCTTATTCAGCATGCGATCGACAACATGCATAACATGGCACAGAATTCAGACATGCATAAATTACATCATCGTTATAACAGAAAATTTTTTTTTTTTTCTTATTCCACTTTTCGTTCGTTGCAACACTCTCTACCTGATGACTGAATCTTATTTTTATCTGTAATGCATTCGAAGAATCGCTTTCCAAATATTTAGCGAATAGGCCTTTATAACATGCGAAAACTTTGAATGTTGAATCAAGATCCAGAAACCACAATAATGGGGAATGCGAAAGATCGAACTTATTAAATTTTTATTTATTGAGTTCACAAGTTAGATAGTATTTCTTCAATGCTCATAAGCATTCTAGATGTGTCTTCACAAGTATGCAATATTAAATGCAATTGTAAAAATGCGCATGATAAAAATCATTGTAAATGAAAGTGACCACTAATTATAAATGTAAGCCTTTATTGTGAATAGAACATTCACTCCCTAGAATTTTCCTGTAACTAACTTGGCCTAAAAGGAATTGGTGTTGCTAGCTGAAGCATTTTGTAAGAGCAGAACTTTGTTCACTTTATATATCGGTGACGATCTGCTTGGACTTCACGTATCAAGAGCGTTAACGAAGTTACTTCAAAAAAACACTGCATTAGCAACTCTGAAGCTTTATTGCGGGATTATATTAGTCGAAGCCGTTCTTCAGAACAAAACGTTGGCTTCACCAGATTTTAATAATAATAAACTTCGAAAAGAATCTGCACTGATACTGATAAATGTACTTGATTCGAATACGACTTTACACTTATTGAATCTGTCACTTAATAGACTTGATGAAGAAGCAGGAAATGTATTAGCCAAAGTATTTTACAAGAACACTTCTTTAACTCCTTTAAATATTTGTACAATGAACTTGGTTTCGAAGGAATGAAAGAATTAGTACATTCACACAAATAACATTTTAACACATTTAGATCCTTTATTCTAACCAATTTGGTGATGGTAAAGTAAAGGCACTAGCTGATACACTTTGTAAAGATATATCTTTAACCTCTTTAAACCTTGGTCACAACAATATCAATACTGAAGCGGTAAAAGTTCTAGCAGACACACTTTTTAAAATACCACTTTAACTTTCTTTGATCTTAGTAATAATATTATTAATACTGAAGGAGTAGTCGCATTAGAAAATTTTCTTTATAATAACAAGACTTTAACCTTATTAAATATTAATTAAATTCTAAAGTTAGAATTCATTTATGAAAATCAGTTCAATAGTACTGTATAATTTAAATTAGTTAATTGGGTATCATTATAAAAATAATCAATACAGTAATTACAGTGTATTGCAGGTTTTAAATTTATATTTGAAAATTATTTTAAATTATGACTAATGACTATTGCGAGTATCACTAAAAGAAAGTCGTGATGTCTTAATATAGTTTATATTTATCCTAGAAAATATTTATATAAAACAATGATTGGGATCCAACCTCTGGTTTAAAATTGGCTATACACATGAATATTAATTATGCTTGCCTAAACATGTTAGTTTAAACATGTTACATATTTATTAGGATACATAAATTAAATTTGCATAACGATAATTTATTTAATTTAAGAACGTCATATTATTTAATTAAAAGGTAAAAGTTACAAATCACGAAGCTTTTTGCTCGTAAGGTCAATTTTAAGCTCAATTTGAGCATACATAGTTTCATTTCACTTAATTAAATTCACGGAATTAAAAGCTTGTGTTCATATACTTATTAAATGAAATCTAGGAGTTTCGTCGATTAACTACTGGTTTTAATTTTCGCTGAAAGAAATTTAAAAAAGACAAAATGGCAAAACTGATAAAATAATCAAAACTAGTAAAATGTGTTGGAACTGGTAAATGGTAGTATCATTGATAAAAAGTGATGAAGCTGATGAAAAAGGCAGATTATGCTTACATAAGAATTAGTCCCACGAAAAAGTAATTTAATCGCATATGGTTTTTTTTTTATTGACCTACGCTGCTAATAACTGTTAAAAACAATTCCTACATGTTAGCAGGTCTACTTAACGAAAAAAAAAACATGAAATAAATAAATTAATTAAGCTATACTTTCATCATCCAAACCGGATATATCACAGAGTTATTTCAAGTCCAACTACGATCACCAACGACGACGAAAAGTACCGAATTGGACAACACAACTGAATAATGATACCTGAATTCCGTTACCCGAAGAAAAAAATTACTATAATAGTGTCAATAAATAAATAACCAGCCGGTGATCAATAATAAAAAATACGAAATTACACACCTTAATTTACCTATTTAAATTTGGTTCTCATAAACGGGTACTGGTTTTTCTAATCCCAACCTTAACTATTACGTTTATATATAATTTAGAAACCAGATTTATTTATTTCAATTCTTCCTAATCTGAAATTTTAATTTGTCTAAGTTACTGGGGAACAATTTATGGGTACGCAACCACTAACAAAAAAAATTTAGATTATGATATTTAATAACTACGATATATCAGTTATTATCGTTATACGATGCTTAATAAAAATTGTAAAAACGAAAGTATAATTTTTTGAATGACTTTCCAGGATCTTTAACAACTATGTAATTTTTACGCTTATGTGATGATCGACGAAGATGGGTCAATAATGGGGGTCCCTTAAACGGGCAGATTTTATATATTGATCTACATACTGCATAAATTGTTATTCTTGATATGTAAATAACCCATTACCTCTGAATACATCAAAAAGGAAACTTTTTTTCGATTTAGTGTAACGTTATGCGATCAAATCAAGCCTTTGTTTTTTTACAAAATCGCTTATAACTCACAATCTGAATAGGAAATCACATTCTGCGTTTTATCATAAAGTTTTTTGAACGATTTTACTATTAAAGTCCCCTTAATATAGACTCTAACCCTAACCTAAACGAACTTAAAGAATGTTGTCGAATATCACGTGAGCGTAAAAATTTTGTTGGCAATGCTGGGGAAGAATTTTTTTATAGCATCTTGTTAGTTGCTTAATAAAGTTATTAAAAAATAAATTTTTTTTTGTTATTTAAAAAGAAAAAAATCTCTATATTTCAGCCGCCAAACACCCCCAGGCGTCCTACCCTGGCGAGGATTTAGGAATGCATAGATGACTGGTCTCGTACATCAGATCTACTAAATAGTAAACCTGGTTAATTCATATTTGTTTGTCTCTTATTCTTGGGTTTAACTAAGAAAACACAAATGGGTTATTCTCCTGCATATCGAGCAATCTTCGCAGTTTTTTTTTTAGAATCGACCTTCTTATTCCTCTCTCTTTTTTCTCTCTTTTTTCTTTTTTATATAACAATCATTCTGACACATTACAATGGAACTGTATACATAATAGACTGCTATTTTGACAGGTCATAAGAGACTGTATATATATATATATATTTAACTGTCATCTCGACAGGTTAAAAGAAGGATGCATTCAAATATAACTGTCATCTGACAGGTCATATTTTAATTTAAATTGACTATTACTAATCTAGCTTGTATAACGTTGGAGTAAGAGAGGGTAGGGTTGATGTAACCAGAACTAATATTCGGTTTGTAGAAAAAACAAGATTATCCTACCTACATACCTTATAGACCCTAATATATACCCATAACAATTACTTATCGATTACCTCATTCTTACTCAGGTTACTTAAACTATACTAACAATTACTAACTAATTACCTCATAGTTATACTAAACGATTACTAACTAATTACCTCATAGACATACCTACTAATTACCTCATACTTACTTCATCTTGTTCGAACATTAGATCGGTCAACCGACTGATCATTAGACCGATCGAATGATCGAACATGTGACTGGAACAGGGACATGTCACATGTTCGAATCTAAGTTGATTCGAGACAAACACTGCCTCGATACTTACGTATCGAGCAGATAAAAAAAAATACAATCTGTTGTGTTATGATTATTGCGAAATTTTTTGGGTACGTACCATTAACGATGTAAGCAAACAAATTCCTTAAGTGGTATGTTACAGTTGAAAGGTATGAATTCATAGTAAAAATCGACGGAGAATTACGTACTTTTGCAGAATAATAACCCCGAGATATTAAAATATTTATTTTTGGTATCTCCCGCGGGAGACGTATCTCTTGTATCCGTTAGCCAATAGTGAGATTTAACGCTAGTTCGAAGAAAAACCAGGTTATTTCTCAAAAAAACGCACAAGAAAACCTCCTTTTATGTACTAACCAAAAGTTTTCCTTGAGCAAATTTACATCTATTTTTTCACCCCTAATCCTAAACTAAACGTTATCCTAATATAAATAAACTTTAAGGGATTTTGGGAGATTTATATCTCACAGGAGATACTATCGTTATATTAGAAGGATACTTGTTCATAAAATTCTTTTTTTTTTTTATATATATATTTCAAATCGTCACAAAAACCATGCAGCACATTAACTAATTCATTAGCAGTTGGTTGGTCTTGAGGCTCAGCGTCTCGTCTAAACATTTATTCATTAAATCCAATAGTTGAGGAACTTTACATTCAGGTTTATGGCCTAAGCAAAATTTTCTTACTAAATTTTCATCGTGCGGAATATCATGATATGGTGGATATCCAGTAAAAACTTCTGACATGATAATTCCAAAAGAATAAATATACGATTTTTTAATGTACTCTTTTCTTCTCGTATATAATACCTCTCTTATATTTTTTGTTATAGAAATTTATAAGAATTCTAATTTTTCGATTCGCAACCTAGGATTCTTAAAATCTTACCCATAAAAAATTCTTTCATGATCATGTGTGTGTGTCCGTCTGACTAATGCGCGTAATCATGGTATATAAGTGATTACCGTTATTTAAATATAGTTGCATTCGTTAATAGGTTAGAAACGATCTCGGAAATAATCGTCGGTTGTGTGCGCGCCAATTATTTCTGCCACCACTATCACTATGTTAGCAGTAGAACAGTAATAGGTCTTTTTCAAATAATATTCATTCTGCCTTACTGTATATAGGATTTATGTCGGAGAATCGAATAAACTTTATTAAACTTTATTCGTAATATAGTTGGAAAAAGGTCATTAAATAAGGAAATGTTTAATATAGGGGTACTTTCGTGATTAGGGGATCACTGGAATTAAGCGCCATGTTACCATAAAACGTATGTGTACGTATACGTATGTACATAGGTAAGTACATTTTTCTAAGCGATTTCAAAATTTAGAAAATTCAAGTTAGATTAAAATCTTTTTTTAAAATTTTATATAATACTGGTCCAAATTTTATTGCATCAACATGGATAGACATTGAGATATACGAAAGAAAAGATTTATAAATTCACCAATCCCGTAATGATGATAAGCGTTAGGGGCAGATCTTTATCGCCAATCGGAAATGCTTTGCCACACAGTTTAAATCAAAAAAGGGTAATGATTAATTCCAAATATTTATGAACACAGAATCAATCATCTAAAAATTTAACACAATATTAATGATTCAAACAGTAAATTATTGAATTAAAAAATTTGTGAGATGAAAAACCATATAGGGTAAACAAACTTTAATATTATACTTAACTTGGGATGTACTTCATGTTGTGTTAAATAATTTTAATCCAAGTATATTTCTAAAAAAATCCGAGCTTAATTCTAAAGATCATAAAAAGTTATATACGGATAAATTGTCCGATTAACTTGGAAATACGATTTACACCCATAGTGTGTAGTATAAATAGCCGAATTTTTTGGGATGACTTTGGTTTATTTATACGATCCTGAATCCTCTATACCCCTATTTGTAATAACCCATTCCTCTCCTTTCTTTCACCTCCTTAACTTCTCTCCTTAATATCCGTCTTCCAATATTTACCATACGCGGGAAAAAAAACCTGATCAAGAACCAACGAAGAAATAACCCTTTTCGTTGTCTTGGCTATATTACGGTTTTCCGCTTACTAATAACATCTACCTATAACATATACCTCTCTCCTAACTATCTACTTCATTTGTTTTTTTCTTATAACGTTATTATTTGCTTATTTTCGCATTATGCAGTTTAAATATTAGCATAATAATAAGTTTTTTTTTTAATATTAACGAAAAGTCAAAAAAAAAAACTTTCACTCACCTTATTTCCGTAACTACTATATTTCAATTCCTTTCTCAAAATATGAAATACCGCAATTGTCAAAATTTATTTCAATTTCTGAAATGGGCACAATTGTTGCTTTCGTTTTTGATATTTATCCTAGGTAATAAACGTGGTTTGATCTATCTCTCTACACTTGATCGCGAATATAGAATAATAATAAATTTTTTTTTTTTGTAAAAGAAATGATTGAACTTGGAGCATATTTGAATTATAACGATAAAGTTTCCCAGGATGATGAACTCTCTAAATCATCCTACAAAACACTTTTTTTAAATTCAGATTTGTGAGTGTTTTTTTATATAAAATGTAATTACCTACACACATATATACTTAGTTATATATACATATATACATGTATACATGTAAACTGTATATACATATCTTCAATTTAAATGAAACAAACTTGGTTCAATTTTATAGAGGAAGCGGATTAGTAAAAAAATACCTTTATTTTGTCTTTTCTTTTAGTATCCTAAGCATCGGTAAGTTACTATATTATTTTCAAATTTTCGAAAACAACTTATAAAACAACCTTTGATTATTTTTGAATCCGTAGGCATGTATATCACATTATATCGAGGTTCTTGGACAGAACAAAAGGGTCCTTTTACTTGGTTTGAGATGTTAGTATTGTCACGTGATAAAACACGTTATTGTTATCATTTTCCGCTATCTTTAAAATAATTAATATCTTTAAATAATATCTTTAAATAATACCTTCAAATAATATCTTTAAATAATATCTAAAAAAAAATTCTTTATCATTAAAGGTTGCAGTTAATAATGTGGTTCTCTGCATGTAAATAACTTAATATTTTACGTTCAAATTATTATTACCGTAATCTATCATTACTGATTTAATTTGTTTTATATATGAAATAGTTATGGCAAACCTTTACGACATTATTCATGGTGCTGCCGGTCTCTGTCAACAGTACCGTTCCGCGTATTCACTTCAACAAATTCCAGAAGAGCCATTAACAGTTTGTGACACTTACATTGCCTCAATAACTTTTTGTTCTCTAATAGTGTTTACATTCATGATCACAACTTGGATAGCCTGGAAAGTACAAATAGAAAAGAAATCCAAAGTTCAACACGTGAAAAAAGTAAAAATAATTAAATATTTACAAAATTCAGAATCTAAAGAAGCAGCTAGATTTATACGAATTGAACAACATGGTAGTGTTAATGAAAAGGTTGTTCTTGACGTGAATTGTGATTTGGAAATGAATAAAGTGGTGAATGGTGATGATTGTAAGCAGGATGGGTCAATATGTTAAAGGTTGGCGTACACAAAAAGTGTGTATATATATAATAGACTTTGTACCTTACTACTGTATACATAATTGTAATGATTGTAATGTGCATTTTGTAATATAATCTTGACTGATGTTATCTTCTTTTCAGTCGTGGGAATACCCACTTCAATTCTTTATTTTTTCAATTAATATATACATACATTCTCAACAAATGTTCTATTTTGTATATTCATTTCTTTACACTGTATTAATTCATGAGATATATGAATTCTTTGATACCATGTAAAATTAGCATTACATTATACCAAATATATTACGTGTATTAACTATATCTAATTACATTAAATTTCATTCTCACATCTTTTTTATCGCATTAAAATTTAATAAAAAGTAAATATTTACATGTTTTAATTGTTCTAAATAAATTAATGTTTATCGACCTTGAATTCACCGTGATATCAAATCACCTTTTGCGAAAAATTCCTCTCTAGCTTGCCATTCAGAAAAGTTTTTAATGGTGAAAATAATAATCACTTCAGTGATATTTTACAACATTTCTGCCGAAAACAGTGTAACTTCTATAGTATTATCTTGTTTATTATCTTGCCGATTATTCCATCCTTTCATTATTATTTTCCAAACATCTTCACAGTTTATAACTTTCAAAGCATCTCTTTCAAATAAATTCTTTAGCTCCGTTGCTTTCTTTTTATAGTCAATTTTTTCTTCCGTACATTCTTTTTCAATGAGTACAGAGTTTCTATCTTTAGCTTTAAAATTTTCAGTATGTGCCAATGCGATACAATCATCAGGAATCTTAAATTCGACTTCTTGTTGGCAATATCTCAAGAAACTCTTTAATGTTATTCCATCTGGAACTATCATATTGTGTGACGCGGATAGCGATTCCCAATAGTAATTAATTCTGAACTTTAGTAATTTTAATTCTGATATTGGAAATTCATAAATGGTACCAGGTAAAGCTTTAGGGGTCGGCAAATATGGATTCTCATTATCGTCTATGCATGCTCTTTGTCTATTTTTAGAGAGTTCGAATCTGGTAGGTACAAATTTGTTACCGCACTCTGGTGAAACATAAATTCCGAATCTTCTATGATTCGGCTTCGTTTCTGCCTTGACATGAGTCTTTGCTTGGCAAGTAGGAAAGGAATTGGAATCGGGCTCTAATTTTGTCGGCTTAAAAACTTTAGTAATTTTTTTTAAGGCCTTGTGAAATATTTTTGTGGGAATCTGTTTTTTTTGGTGTTGACTAGGTGATTCATTCTCTTTTACATTCACTTTTGTGTTCACTTTTGTGTTCACTTTTGCGTTCACTTTCACGTTCACTTTTGCGTTCACTTTCGCGTTCACTTTTGCTGGAGAATCTTTGACGATGATGATCGGTTTTGTGGCCGGAAAAAATTGTGGGCCTTGTAATAACGAAAGATAAGAAATTGTCTGTGGCATGGTAACTTCGGCGGGAACGATAGATTTTTTATTAAAGATTGAAAATTTTTTGAATCGTTGTTTCTCAGCACGATGAAAAGTCATTTTTTAAATAAAGGGCACGGAACGAAGGAAAGAAAAAAGGATTTAAGATAGAATATGAATTTAATTTTGCAAAGTTATATTTCTTTATAAAATTTTAGTGATCTATTAAAATTTGAGTTATTTGAATTTTGGACGCTTCGTCATACCTTTCCAGGCCACCTATTTTATAAAAATTTTCAGGTATTGAAGGCATCACATTAAACACATACCAATGTACTCATCCAACAAGTTAGTAAATTCTAACAAACGATAAAACTCTAAAGTTCCAAACTCGTCAAGAAACTTTTTTTTCTCTATCAATCGAATATGCATAAAACTTGAAATTAATCCAAGTAATGTTAGAATATGCATAGAAGCAGTAAATAAATAAATAATAAAAAAAACCCATATATTTATCACAATAACAATTCTCCGATCTACTTACTTTTGACTCTACATAGCGACAATATTAAAATATGTAGTGATGTAATTACTAAGATTTGTTATCTGATTCTATTTAACAATTGAATTTTACCGCAGTTTATGAATAAAAAATCTATTGATATCATAAAAAATGAGCAGGGGCGATCAGTCGATAAGATTGGAATTAAAGTATTTTAGTCAGAGTACCTTAAAATTCTTTGGCAAAATAAGTAAAAGAAAAAGCATTCATTTGATGGTCATGATTAGTTTAGCACCGAATCTTTTTAGTAAAACGATCATTGTTGCACGGGAAGAGTCTGTCGGTAAATCATTTGACGACATGTGTAAAGTAAAAACTGTCGTAGTTTACCGAAAATTCTATGAATTTAAAAAAAAATAATAGTTACGTAGGACAAAGAAACAATGGAATCTTTCTTTTTTTCTCATAAGTAAATCTTACCAATGTATGATAAAAATAGTTCTTTTTTTTTTGCACTAACAAGTCTTTTTGCCTTGAACACAGGTGTAGAGTATCTTGAATCATATAAAAGCTTCATTCGACATTTCATTACCGCAGATCTTGTCACATGATTGAAGCCGAAAGATCGAAAGGAATATTGTAGTCGGAGATACGACTTTTAATAACAATTAATTAGGCAATCAATATCCGTAATGATACAAATAATATTTTTAGTAAATAATATGATAAATGTTAAATTTATTAATATATGATTTTATTAATATGCGTTCCCACATCCATTGTACATACGTACATACCCTTTGACTGTCTGAGCCTCAACGTCAGCCGAAATCCCTAAAATGTGATAAAGTATTTTAAAATTAATTAAATTTTGGAATATTTTCAGAAATCTACGAATCAAGCTCACTTCTTCGGAAAGAATTCATTATCTATTTTATTTATTTTAAAAAAAATAATTCCCAAAGACCAAATTAAAAAGTTATTAAACCAATATATCTGTTAAATGAATAAATGTTCCGTGATATCTATTTTTTTTATACTTTTGCACCTTTAAAAAAGTAAATCTTTATAAATTTAATCAGAAATACTTTAGAAATACCGTAAAACGGCTGGAAACAAATAATTTTTTTTGCCAAATTTTGATGCTAACTACGTAGGATAGTCAAACCTTGCCAATACTTACCAACAAATTTGTATTCTCCTTTCGCAGAATAAAAGGACAAAGATATACTTATTTTCACGTTAGTTTCCGGTTTTCTGATGTATGTCTTTTTGAAGAATGTATATTCGTTTTCTATTCTATCCCTAGTCTCCACAGTCTCAACTTCATTTGAACAATTTTCATAAAGCTGAAAAAATAAAAAAAAATTTAAACAACTCTAATTTCTTCGACGACAAGTTCATATAAAATGGTTGCCCGACAACTTTAATAAAATAGAAAAAAACAAGATACAATCAACTTTCTATAACGAATTGATTGTTCTGAAAAAAAAGTTCATATTAAAAAATTACTATGCTTCTTAAGAGCATGTAGAACCTGTAGCACTTTCGATACCGAACTAATATCAAATTTAAAACCGAACTAATATCAAATTTTAAACCTTCAAGTTCATTATATCCAGAGTTCGTTATAAAGAGATATCAAGAGTAGACTGTACTCTTGACGAGAAAGAAAAAGATGTAAGGATAGGAAAAAAGCGTAAAACAATTCAAAACGACGAAAACATATTTAACAGTTTATTCTGTATTGTAAAGCTTTTAAACATATCCAAATTAATGAAAACGAACAATACATTTAAAAATTTCTTAACCCATGTAATAGATTCGTTATAACAATACATAACGATAACGATAATAATCATCCCTTTGATTCCGAATTCTTTCAGTCGATGAACTTGTACTAACACTAAGGTTTTTTTTTTTATTCCAAAGTTTTTAGTCCTATATTCCGATAATAATGTCTATATCTTATCATCATGGTTAATATCGATATATCATTTCATTAATAAATTCCTCCTTATATGTATTGTCCAATTTCTTGGTTCATTAAAATTTACGATCGTTAATCATATTATATTCGATCTTTAGAAGTAAAATATAGAACTCATCAGAGAAAACAGTTCTGTAAATGACTTTCGTGTCAAGTGATAAGACCCTCAAAATAAACATATTACCAAACTCATGTGATATTAATGGCTCAGACGTTCCAAATTGCTTGGGTCTCATCACATTTATGGTTTACGAATAGCTTTGGAACCCTTTACAAGTGGGAGAACTGTGAGAGGACCTAGCGAAGGCACGTGAGAAACGTAACCATGACCCGAACCAAAGCTAAGCCGCATGTGAAAGTAGCATTTAATAAAAGCTATATTGGGTTTAGTTCAAGGCGAAGCCCATTAAGAACAATTGAATAATGGCTTTGTGGGAAAAAAGGTTATCGTTATAGTTAGTCGCTTGTAGATCCCGATACTAAATTGTAAAAACCCCAATGAATCTCTCATGTATAAAAGTCCTCTAAATTCTGTTAATAAAGAGACAGATAAGCTATCATTTGGTATTTAAAGACCTACCTTAAAGCCAGGATCTTAGTGGCAGTAAATCCTTGGTTCTCGGACCAAATCTTCAACGTCTCTTTTGAGTTGCCTGTGTCTTAGCGTTACATTATGTTTAATTCTCGCCATTGCGAAAATGAGCCCTGACAATATTCATTTGTGTATAGGATTCATCACCATATGGTTCTTTCGAAAGCAAAAAAAATGCAGATGAAATAAACTCTTGTGAAATCAAGATCAACACTACTATCACTGAACTAATCAATAGCAGATAAATTTCAAGATCTCGTGTAACTCAAACCACCAAAAAAATGCTCGTAGCTCTATTAAAGTGCCTTCTGCGTATTAACAAAAAAAACCCTTGTGAAATTTTAATGTAACTATGACCCTTTAAACCAAACATTAACCTACTGGTGGGACCCTAACCCTAAATAATTGTGAAACAATTTTTTTAAAAGATCACATAGTAGGCGAAATTTTTGGGATGGTGATGCTGAAATTAATAACGATCTTACCGCAAAGATAAATTCCCGTGATGCTAACTATACAACAGAGGCACATAATATTATTTCTATGATTAATAATCTAACTGGAAAATATAATAAAGTCGAGATAGTTCAAGAAACCTACCAAAATAACTTTAATCAAATTGCCACTGAATTCGAATGAATCATAGAGGATCCGACCAACAAAGCAAGGCTTCATCATCCTTTTCTGCACATCGGCTTTTACATTGTAATAAAATATTACTATCTACTCTTCATATTCGTACAACCAAAAAACTGAAACCTTCACGTGCATCACATTGTTGAGCCAATCATATTTAAGATCATGCCTTTCATATATTTTTACGCGTCGCGTCGCTGATTAAAAACTATATAAGTAATAACGTTCCACGTTTCATACTTAATTATTTTTAACATGACCAAAGCACTTTCTAAATGGTTAAGAAGTGGTGTCATTAAGCAGAACATAAAAGAATACACTCAAATCTACTTTCAACGCATTACATAGTTGTTGTCCACAGAAGGTCACTCATGAAGCTTTATATAACTTATTACGTAATATTTTATATAATTTCATGAAGAGTCTGAAATTTACACCAGTGTGTTTAATTGGCTTAAGGAAAAAAACTTGACTTCCTCCAAACAGTCAGGTCCGTTTGCGGTATTCAAAAAATGTGTTTATATATTTGCCGTTGGATCAACTGCGGTAGTTAATAATTACAACAATGACTAAAACATTTGGGAATCTTCCCCCCACCAATGAAGCAGTTATTTCTTTTAGTGATGATGAGCAAGAAGTCATTATTGAACCTATTCTTAATTTGGTCAAAAAGAAACTCAATAAGTTCCTTGTCAACAATGAGCACATAATTCCTTTCAATATTGTAGAAACAAACAACATCCTTCCATAAATTCGGATTTCAGCAACGCTGATACACAATGTATGCTCAATTTTATAATTGAAAATATCAAAATCGGTATTCTCACGGCTAATATAAAACAAATCCTGCTGAAATTTTCAACAACTTCAAAAAAAAATGTAAGGAATAAAATAGCACATGGAATCGTTGTAGATGAAAACGATCGATGAAGCAACCATTCGTTTCAACATGCCACTATTATTGCATATGAAGTCATTATCTGCCTAGGTAAATAATAACATGATTTCTTATAAGAGTATAATGTGACTGAATTTTTTTACGTTTAATGCCAGATGACGACTATAAGAAAGCATATTCTATCAAGGAAAATCTTGATAACAAAATTTTTCAGAAGTGGACGGTCAAAACAATCACAGAAGTTGCAAATAACAACTGAGAATCGGTCCCAGCTAATAAAAAGAAAGTATGATCCAACGGATTTTTGTGAAATGAAAAAGAGGTTGAAGAAACAAAGAAGGAACTAAGCAAAAATAATGAAATTGGTATTGAGGAAGGATGAATATATAACGCAGATCTGGAGGGCTGTTAATATGAAAGAGTGCAGAAAAAAGCAAACCCATGAATTCGTTGAATTTGTGAATATTGTGTTCAACTTTGTGAGTATCAGGTGTTAGCTTTCTTACATTATGATTTCTTATATAAATCAATCACTCATCATTTTCATTCACAGGACTTAAAGTGCAAAGTGGAATTGGACTCTGAAATAAAAACGGAAAAGGTACATACAGTATAGTTGGCAGAGCGGTGTGTGGGAATAAGTTCTCGCGCAAGTCACGTCCAAGTCGACGTGGGTGCGCAACTTACTCGGAGAATAACTATATAGTTGTTCAATGAAGTAGGTTTCGCTGGCATTTCCTGAAAAATGTGATGATTTGTAAAAGGGTTATTACAATTTTTGGTATTTGCTGGACTCGGTGGCTTAACGAGGGTAAATCCAAGCTACTTATTTCGTATATTGCCTGTTAACTACTCAATTCATTATCTGTATGTACTTGTGTTGTGACGTTTTTTAACAACCATTCTTTTCTAGATTGTAATATGAGCAAGATTACCGCATCACACTACGTCTTTCTGGAATCCGAGAGTCAAACCAGCGAAGATTATTGCGGTGTTATTACAAATTCGAACTTGTGGAGCTTATCATTAAAGAGAACGAAACTTCACATATAGTATTCAGCTTTAACATCTATAAACCAATTAGTAAAATAAAACCATTCAAGAATAAAACACTTAGAAGATGGATTAAGACTGTATGATGGACCTATAATCATTTCCTCTATCGCCGAGAATGAAGGACTAAGTGAAACTATGAGCAAAATGCTTTAATGCTAAGAATTTTATTATACAATTTTGATGGGTTCTTAGAACACCCTATGATATATGCGGAGAAGTTATGACCGATTTACTCAAAGCCTATAAATCAGCATTGCTTTAATTTGTAATAAATTCGAAATCAAATATCAGTTTAAAAAAGATCATTACCATAAATAACGTCTTATCGAAGCATTGAAGTGGGATTTTAACTTTGTATTCCCGGGCTATTTGAAATGTATGCTGAAAACAAAGATCCACCATCCTCAAAAAAATATGATACGTACAAGTAAAAATGTAATACGTAAAATGAGTAAAATGAGATATATCGCATATATAATGCATATTGCAAGCTTCAGAATAAAGCTTCGTCGTGCCATGTTACGATTCATAAACAAATACGTAATAATTGTTATGTGAAAATTATCGAATAATGTTTGTTGTCGAGTTACAAAAGCATGATCCGTAGTAGCAGCATCTGGAACTACTAGAGTCATGTGCACATATTTACACTATCTTTTTCGTTTACAAGGTTCGTGTGTATGTGGTGTCATCTCCATAAAAAGTTATGTAGATGTTATAAAGTATTCTGTTACCCAAATGTAACACCAAGCTCGATTGAGACAATAATGGATCTCAAACCATATTCCTTCGTTATCTTACACTTCAACAAGAGTTAACAATGGGGTTATCCTAATGAGTTCTTGCAAAAGTTGTATATTTCCTTATTTAATCATCATAAATATGAGATTTAATAATGAATGCATAGGTTAATTATAGGTGTTAGATTAGCATATATGCATTATGTTTCATGTATATTGTTATAACCATAACATTATTGAAATTAGGATTGTCCACGAACAATGGTGATTCAGTAAATTGTCGATAAATTGTTGATGTAATTGCTTGTTAGCCGTAATTAAATCTCCTTATAAACCTTTCTTTTTCACTCTTAAGTAAATAGCTCTAATTCCACAACTGATTATTCTTTGCAAATTTTTCATTTCTATTTTCTTATTACTATTTTATTACTATTTCGTGATCTAATAATTTAACGAAAGTTAGTAACATTCAATTTCATATTTAAAGTATTAAATTATTTCTGAAAACTAATGGCAATTTCAACAACAAACATTGGCCCTCAAACACCATCGTCGCCGAGGCATTCTCGAGTACCGACAATGACAATTGCATTATCTACTTCAGCACAACAAAAATTGAATTTATTGTTACAACGTGAAAATGAATTTGATTTTTCAGATTCTAACTCTACGACGAACCAAACGTCTATATCTCTCAAGGAAACTTCACTGAAATATCCTGCTTCTGCTCACATATCACAAACTTTAACATCATCGGTAGACCCTCCAGCATATGATGAATATACAACAATTGACATGCCTCTAACTTATACAGGACTCAAAATTACTCCCGATTCACATTACGATACACTTCCAACTGATATTGATGCACCATGGCCCATAACTAAAAAATTATATTTTATGGGCTTTTTATTTTGGCCTCTTTGGTTTGTTGGAATGGGATTCTCAATGTTTGGAAAAAAGCCTTTAACCAGAAAATGGGGTCGTCATTGTGCATGCAATTCAATTGTGGTAGTAATCGTATTTGCTTATTTGGTTACTGCTTATATCAGAACTAACGGTCGATTGACCTAATTTTTTATGAACAATTAATTGGTTATTGAACATTTCTTTCATCAAACAACTATACTGTAAATACAATCCTTTGACTTGATTGATGTATTTTTATTTCTATTTTGTATTTTTTTTTTTCCTTTGATAGGAAGCAAAGCATAATACAATCATTGTCGAATTCTAGTCAATACTTTCTTCATATAATATATAATAATGAGTTTTTAATACACATTATCTTTTGTGGTTTTAGAGCTCAAAACATCAAAAGATGTGGATTTCTTTTTCTTTCCTTTTGTACCTTTAAAAATGTTCATTATTATTATATATGAACGATTATTTTCTCTAATTTTATTAGGTTAGTATAAACTTTTTCTTTTAATGTCTCTTTTGAAGTAGCTTGTTTACTATTGAATGATTCTTATTTAATAAATATTCAGGTTTACTATCTATTATATATATCACCGTGAAATTCAGTCCAAATTTTTTAATAACATGAATTTCATAAATTAAGGCTGTGTGTACTGTACTACATATATAATATGGCTAGAATTATTGCAGAAATGATTAAATAAAACTAAAATGCATGATCTAAATAAAGCCAATTTTAAAAATCAAACCTTCATGTCTTGTTATTATAAAGTTACAAATGTCTAAACTATGCATGTACGTACGTAATACAAAGATTTTTCCAAACCTATACATAATATATAGTATACACACAGTATGTAATTTAAAAAAAGTGGATTAATAAATTGGTTTTTACAAAATAAAATATATGCTTTAAATCACGAAAAAAAAATTAGACAATCAATTAAATATGCAAATTAAAAATATTTTATTTAAATATGGATAAAAAATTTTAATTATTCTATTTTATACATAGTTATATAATTGTTAAAACGGTTTGAAAACAATCGTTGCACAATTCGTAACGGAAAAATGGTGTCTTTATATTACTTATTAAAAATATGGTGAATTTAGAATACATATAAGAATTAAAGAGGAACTTCATGTAATGAGGAGGTTTCTGATTTTGGTTGACTTGGAATGATAAGAAAATTAGAATCTGTAGAATCTGTATAATTTGTAGAATCTTCTCCATCTTTTGATAAAGTTATAGATATTACTTGAGGTGCAACTTCGTGAGATGTTTGTGATTCCTCTTGATGTTCATTTTTATCATTTTTGTTTTCAAACTCTTCACTAGTAATATGAAAATTACTTTGAGGTAAAACAATTTGAAGTGGAATTCCTTGATCTGGTAAACCACTTTGTAATAAAAGTTGTGTTTGTTGTGGAACATCTTGTTCTAACTCTGCAGATATTTGAACAATTTCTGGTATAGTGATCACTTGAGGTGCAGGCAATTCATGTTGCTCTAGCTCTGCCAATTTTTTTTCATATTTTTCTAAATATGATTTTGGTGATTTTGGTGAAGGCAAGTAAGTTAGATCAATACCAGTTTTAACCCTTTCTCTTGATATACGTAAAGTGAAAATCATTATTATTGAACAAATTACAAATACAATCCAACATAAAACTAAGCTTGCTATCCAAGCGTGACAAACTGATGTCACGTCTAAGCCACCATTGTTTGGTAATTTACAGTTGAAAAGATCAAGTCCTCTATAAACCGGACTAATATTTACTAAAGCTATGTTCAAAAAAATTTTTAAAATTAGTTAATGCATAAAAGAATACTGATAGGGTAATGTCAGAGAGGTTTAAGAACTTACCAGCACTTAACCAGAAGGCGAAGAAAAGACTATTTTAGGTGCATAGATAAAAAAAGAAAAATTGATTAAACTTTTTTATTCTTATTAGGGCAGCAACAAATATTAACTAATATCCATTTATTATCGTTATTATTTATTTCGATCACCCCTGACACTTGTAAAATTTTTATCAAAATTGGGTTGTTAAAAGTTTTCTACACTACCTTAGATTTCTCTCACATATTAACTAATATCTGTTGCAACCCTTACTGTTACGATTCTTAAATTAATCATAAAAAATCGTACCATTCCAACCAAAAGAAAGGTCCTTTGTTCCATATTTTCTTGAAATTGAACGCGTATAAAACTAAAATAAAATAACAGATTAAATATTTATTATTGTGATAAACAAAAACGTTTGATTATAATAACATACCATTGCTTAAAATTGTTGAACAGCACACAGTAATAACCCAAAATTTTTTGATTGATCCGTCGTCATTTATGTCTCTATAAAACAAAAAAAGTATTTCACGGTTAACATCCATCAGTTTATATGTATATCAATTGATAATAAATAAGCTTGTAGTATTAGATCATTACTCTTTAATCTCGTTCGAATTATTGTCATAAGGTACTACTACATTCTGACTATAACTTATGAGTTGTATCGACTCTACATGAAATGAAATTGCTGGTTTATTAAAAAATCTTTTTTTGATAAAGATTAAAAGAATTATGTATATAAATAGTATATACCACACATCAACACCAGAGAAGAAATCAATAATTGAACGCATTTGAGACCAAGCAAATAATTCGAGTAGTCGCGAAATTTGGTCATGGCCGTTTTTTTTTTTTATAATCCCAAATAACAAACGAAAAAGGGATAAAAGGAACCAAAGTAATTACAACTAATATATTTATATATTTTTTTTGTAACTATTTATTATTCGTGTAAATAAAAGTTTTAAATGCTGAAGATCAATACTCATTATTGCATTATAATATCCGACTAAAAATCTTAACCGATTTAAAGGACCAACACAAGTTCGATTGAAAAAAATATGTAGTGAAACGATCCGGTAAATTTTATTTGTTTATGCTTTCTAACATTACATGTTCCACTCTCGTTTGAATTTAGATACGGTAACTACTAATATCTTTATTCGAGTTATACGGATTATAGAAACCTGAAATCATTTATTATTCGTGCGTGTAATATTTTGTCTTTGGTACGTACGACATGTATAATTTGCATAATTTCACGATAATATAACATCGTGTTACATACGCTTATCCTCGCACATGTTTATAATTTATGCATGGCCTTTTACAGGAAACAATTGTCTGCAAATTTAATGAAAATATTTCCTTATTTATTTTTCATGATTCATATTGGCTCAAAACGTGACTGTTTAGGTTATTATTGGAGATTATGATTTTTATATAAACCTCAAAAGTCATAATAATTAACAATGTGACGCAATACATTAAACGATTAACCCGAAATGATTTCGTATTTTTTTAATTCATATATAAGAAAATCTGAAGATCATAGATCATTAGAAACTTATTTCTGTTAGAATTGGCCTGAGATATAAAAAAAACAAGTACATGACCTTGAATTGACATTTGAAATGGACGAAAAAATAAAGATTTCTTCGTTAATTGAAGATCTCTGTTATTTCTTGGCTGCGGTAACGCTTATCGTTATTGGGATGTTACGTATCAGCATATCGCATGATTTCACATAAATTGTAGATTAACAATTTTTGGCAGGATAAACATAACTTTGTAAAAATTAATACGTACGTATTTATTTGGCTGTTTATTATAATTTACCTGCCAAATAAATTTATTATTCGGTAAATAATTTGCCGAATACGTAATAAATTGTTTTGCGGGTAAATCGGATAAATCCGTTATCTATTATGCTGATACTACCTAATAACTTATTATTTTATCATTTAGTGCCTGTCTGATAACTTATTATTATCAGGCGTGATAGGACATATACGGTCATATCCAATTTTACATGATCAAGGTAGTCATAACGTAATAGGTGATAAGGTTATAATCTTCTGGTTATAGGCCAACATTGTATATAAAGATTATGTTGATATTTGTATAAAATTAGAATTTATAAGCGATATTTTACATATATCGCTTTACTATGAGTTCATTTTTAGTCAAATTTTATAATATGATATATTAATTATAAGGCGAGACCAACTTGATTCTGTGTTTTACACTACCCTCCAGAAGAGAGAGAATTTGTGGTTTACATAGTAAAAAATTAAAAAAAATATTTCAAAAAAATATTTCCGGATTGTTCCATGACTATATAAAAATTTTCCGAAATAGCCCGTAGCCCTACAGAGAATATTCAAGCCGCACTACAACATATTTCTTTAATATCAGTTAATCCTACACCGTTATGTTACTAACTTTCAGTAAAGTTATGTTTGAAGGTACATATTTTCAAGTATAAATTACCAGGTTTACTGAATTTTGTATGTAAAACGAAGAAGTAACGATTCAGTGAAGGTAAGGTTATTATTATATACACTACATTTATTGTTTAGGTCAATGCAAAGTTTACTAAATTGGTAGTATAGAAGAACTTGCAAGAGTAGTTGAGGATTAGTAAGGTTGTAAAAGGAGGGTACTGGAGTTATACAAAGTTCACAAAAGTTAAAAACTATGTTAGCTGTAAAATAGAATATAAAAGGTTTTATTAAGTTTATCTTTGAAGATAAAATAATTTTAAGATTTGAGATAAAGATCTGGATCATTAAGATGTATTAATAGACATCTTTATAATTTGGTAAAGTTAATATAAGAGGTACATAATTAAAGGAATTAAAATAAATTATTTAAGCAGAAATATTAAATTAATTAGTAAAAAACCTTTAAGCAGATTTTAAATAGTGTTAAAGGCAAATCCAACCATAGGACCATGAGAAATAGAATGTGTAACAATTCTGAAACACTCATGAAAAACTATTGTATCATAATACCTGTAACTTAAGACAAATTATGCTCTTCATTAAGTAATAGCACTGATCCATTGAAGAAAAAGCCATCTATCTAATTTGAAATCCAATTGTCAAAGTAATATTACCTTGACAGGTAAAGTCTGTAGTTATATCAATGTGTTATCATATGTTGAGTTGTGTGTTATTGTAGAGTGTTAAAAGTTCAATAGAAAATGCTAAAGTAATAATAAATGAATTGTAGTAAAAAAGGAAAAAGTGTTAGTAAAAAAGAAAAAAACAGTCTATAACTATGAGAAAAAGGTGTCAAAGTCATGTTTTAAGCTTTTCTTTTTTTTCTCAAAAATGTTTTATAAAAATGGTTCAAATTCGTCTTCTTGTAAGTAAGTAGAATACCTTTTACCTTCTTATAATCTGAGAACTATTCTGTAAATACAAACTGAATCACCTTTGCCTTATTCTAAAAATAAATAAAATAAAGTCATAATTAATAAAGTTCTAATTGTAATTAAATAAAAAAAAATAAATATAAACTAATATACTCTTTTAAACCCATCTTATATAAAATTTGAATATCTTTTTCATAATGTTCTCAAGACTATCTTAGATCAGTGCCAAATCGAATCCACCTCATCTGCTTTGAGCAATGTTATGTGACATCAATAAATTTGAAGCAACAATTTGTCATATTCCTTCTTGTCTCTATAGTGCTATTCCCATCTTAGTAGTTTGTATTAATAGTAATATAAAAAAGTTACATATGTAATTAGTTGTATTTTATTTTATAATAGTTTTAAATATATAAATGTTATATTTTATGAAAGTATTAATAAAGTCAATAACTAAAGAGAATTATCTTAATATCAAAAAAATAAGAATAAAAATAATCTTTTACTATATTTTTGTATTAACTTGATTTTTTTTTTTTTTAGTATTAAAGTAAGGTCTTGCTTATATCTTTATTGGTAGTTTTTAAGATTAGTAACTTTATAGAGTTACTATATACAAAAATAATTCTATATAAATGTTATGACTGAGGCCAACACTTGTAATTAAGGTTAACTATTAAACTACTAACTATATATAACTAACTTAAATACAAGTAAGAGAAAAACTACATTCAAGAGTGAAGCTCAGACATATTTATCTGCAATCTAAACCTACTAGAATAGTCAAAACTCACCTAGATTTGGATAATTAAAATATAGTTAAATAAAATATTGTATTTGATTCAAAGAATAGTCCATATATTAATTTTTCTAATAATATAACCAAGGGTTAGGCAGGTATTGGAGTTTGAGTATACTTGGTCAAATAGTTTACATATACATGAGTATATATATATTTGGCAGTTGTATTTAGTTTGTCTATTATGATTAGTTTGAGTTAAGTATTTGGAAAAAGATAGTTTAAGACCTTATTGTTTTTTCTAATTTGAAAAGTTTATACAATATGGTTTTCAGAATAGTTTGTAGCATAGCTTATTGATTTCAAGTAGTATTTTAATAACTGTTTATAATGCTAATTTGTAAGAAATATTAAGATTTTGAATTGTTTGAATCAGAGATTTGGATATGAGTCCTTTAAGAATAATATCAAAATAAAATAAGTTCTTATTGAATAGTATCTAATGAAAGATTTCATGATTTTGAATTTTTTGAATAAGTTCTTCTTACTAAGGTTTGAAAAAGTTCAGGTTGCTTTGGTTAATATATTTGGAGATAGTATCTTGAATAATACTGATGAGTAGTGTTAGATTAGAACATGTTTGCCAATGTGTTAAGAAGT